GCGACGCCCCAGCGGTTTCTTCCGGAAGAAGCGCGGGCCGGGCCGGGGCGGGTTGCAAGGTCGGCGGCTTCCGGGCGGGTCCGGCGCATCGTGGGTGCTGGTGGGTGTTTCTGCCGTGGGGCATGGCGGTTCTGCCAAGTTGTGGTATTTTTTTTTCGTTTTGCAAGGCGTGAGGGCCAGGGTGTGATACGCGACCCGTCATCTTATTCTACCCCGGTTCCGGCTGCATTGTGGTGGTGTGCTGGGTGCAGTTTCTCTTCTCGTCGGTTTGGCGTGAATTTTTCCCCCCATATCTTTTTTTTTGTTTTTTATTATGAAAGGATTTTTGGAGGTGCTTTTTTTCTTCTTAGGATGGCTGTTTTTTCTTGTATGCGATGCGGCTACATGTACGAATTTCTCGTTTCAAACAGTTATTATCGTAAACTAACGCTGCGCAATGATCACTGCCCACGGTGTGACCAAATTTCCCTATTTCGGTTTATGAGCGTGAGTGGAATGGTGGGAAAGATGCCGTACAAGCCCGTTGGTGTTCCTGCTCCTTCATATGCGACGCTGTGGTGGCGGAAAAAACGTGATGGGAAAAGTGCTTCGGCACCACTAGATGCAGTATGCAAGAATGATCGGTGGTAGGAGCAGGTGGCCTTGTGACGTTATTCTGGCATTTATCAACTTCTTATCTTTGTTTCAATAGACTCAATTTGGGTATTTGTTTACGTTTTCTTTTCATCACTCGTCAGAGTTTTTCTTCTTCTGTTTTTTTTTTTTTAGTTCCAGAGTAAAGGAAACAAAATATCGATGCTTAGGAAATTTTCAGTGGTGATAGGATTGACCGTGTTCTTGTTGACGCTTTGCGGTCTGTCCCATGCTGACCGCCTTTACACCAAAGGTGATGCGGTATCTGTTTATGCGGATGCGGTTTTTCAGCCCAACGAGCTATTTGAGAGATATGATTTCTATAGTCTACCGTTTTGCAGGCCGGCTGAAGTTAAATTAGAGGCGCAAAAGCTCTGGGATATTCTTTACGGGAGTGCTAAAAGGACATCCAGTTATCAGCTTTTCTTTGCGACCAATTCAACCGGAGTGAAATTATGTAGAAAGAGCCTTAACAAAGATAAAAAAGACGATTTTGTTGATGCGGTCAGGCGAAACTACATGTTCTCAATGCATGTGGATGATTTTGAACTTACTCACAATATCGGTTGGGGAGGTGAGAAAGATGGTGCTGTATTGATAACAGGGCTTTTGTTCAAGATATTTTTCAATGCCGACCGTATTGTAAAAGCGCATGTAGAGAGTTTAGAAACTCAGAGAGTTGTATTGTCAGCTGAGCCACAAGAAATTGATTTCACTTACAGTGTTTTGTGGTTTGAGACAAATCATAATCGAGGCAGTTTGAATTTGGGTGCAATCGATCTTGATGAAGAAGTAGTAAGAATACAATGGATTTCCATAGTGAACTCTTTTGTTATTGTGATTCTTCTCTCAGGATTTGTTCTTTTCATTCTTGCGAGAACTCTGAGACGTGATTTTCAGCGATATGGCTCTTTGGAGGAAGAAATGGACGAAGAAGACATTGGATGGAAACGACTTCATGCAGATGTGTTTCGCTTTCCGCGAAACAAAATGCTATTATGTGCCGTATCAGGTTGTGGGGCACAACTTCTTCTTGTGGCATTTGTGACTTTGATGATAGCTTGGAAAAACGTTTTGAATGGAAAAGAGGGTGCAATGATTAATACTGTGATGCCCCTATTCCTCCTGACAGCGCCTGTTTCCGGATATGTAAGTGGATCCCTTTACAAAAAGTTGGAAGGTGAACATTGGTCAAGGAGCGTATGTCTTACATTTTTGATGCTGTTCGCGCCATTTTTTGTTGTTTGCGTCACAGTTAATGTAGTGGCTTCAATATCTGTTTCCGCTTACGCGGTCCCCTGGGGTAGGTTTTGTTTTTTTTGTGTGTTTTTTGTGAGTGCAACGTTTCCTCTAATTTTGCTTGGTGCAGTCCTTGGGAAACGTTTTTGTGGTCCCTTTGCTGCACCTACGAGGACAAAGTTTGTGCCCCGAGAAATACCACCTTTACCATGGTATCGACGGACTTTGCTACACGTAGTTATCGGAGGATTACTTCCGTTTATGGCGATATACATCGAGCTTCACTACATTTTGGTGGGTTTATGGACCACAAGACTTCATACACCAGTGGCCTTCATATTGATCATGTTTCTGGTCTTGGTTGTGGTAACGGCAAGTGAAGGTATTGCGCTAACTTATGATAGACTCGGTGCTGAAAATCACAATTGGTGGTGGCCATCTGTACTCTGTGGCGGATCAACCGCTGTATACGTATTTGTATACTGCGCTGTGTTTTACTTTGGAATGACGCCACAGATCTTCAGTGGCCTCTCTCTCGTGATTTTCTTTGGATATACTCTCTTTATCTGTCACTGTCTTTTTCTTTCCATGGCCACAGTAAGCTTTTGTTCTTCACTTCTCTTTGTGAAGCAAATATATCGCTACATAAAAAGTGATTAAATACAAAGAAACAAAATCCAGAGAAAAATTTCTCCACCCTCTTTCGAGTGAGATTTTTTTGTCTCTCTTTTGGTTTTTCCTTCTTGCCGTGCACTTTTTGTCGCCTTTTTTTGTAGTTGCTGTCAGGTCCTTGGACAAGTGAGACTGACTTTTTTTTTACTTTGGGTCATCTTTGCTCTTGTAAAGAAATATTCCTACTGAAAAAACACTTCACGAGGAGAAATCCCCCAAACCAAAGAATTTAGACGCTTCGCTCACCTTATTCCTTTAGCAGAAAGCTACTTGCTTGCTTTCAGGATTACCCGTCGGTGCGTATAGTCTTTCTTTTTCTTTCTCTCTCTCTCTCTCCCCGCCCTATATATATATATATGTATATACATCAAAATTGGATGCAATTTAATGTATTTGCGAAGGTTTTGGCAATATTTTAAAGTATAGACGGAAAAATAAAATCTTTTAGCTTCTCTTGTTCTTTGCCTCAAATTGTCTTTTTTTTAAAAAAAGGATTTTAAGCTAAGGCATGACTGCACTTCGGTAATATTTTTCTATAGTTTTATGTAGTGAGTTTTCAATGGATGTGGTGGATATTACAAACCAGGAAAAACTGAAAAGAGACGGGCTAATCAGAGAATTTAGCCATTCGTAGAGACAGTCGAATCATAGGGCATGCTATACTGGTTCGCAGCGAAATCTGGGGACAATGACAATAAATGCAAAATTTTCTGCATCTGGGGAGATTCTGAAACAGGTGGAGTTCCTGAGTAACGGGTGCTGCAGCCAAATGAAGGATCTGACACAACGAAACAAAGAGGGACGTCTATTTTCGAAAACACTATCAACAACACTTGAAAAAAAAGGAGCGTGAAAAAAGTAGACCCAATCCGAATGTGGAACTATTTGGGAAGACAGCATCCTCAGCCAGCAAAAGACAACACTTGTTTTGAACGGAAAATGAAAATGCTTCAAGATAAGATTAGTTCCAGTTTTAAAGGTGTACAACGTTTAAAGTATGACGCTAAGGGCACAGTTAGAGGATATGAAGAATACAGAATGCAAGCGATTAGCCCGCAAAACACGATGCGTTCCGATATCATCTAATTACAAAGACCATGATCAATTTTAAGGACTCTCTACAAAAAAAAGTCCACATTTCCAAGATCACTCTCTACCACCAAAATAAATACTTTGAGGCAACGTTTGCTGAATAAACTAAGTAAATAGTCATCTTGGCACGCGCACTGCGCATACACATAGACATTGCTATGAGAGTATGGTTTCCTATATTTCCATTCTCATACTTTTTTTTTCCAGTGACCGAATGCCTGGGATAGGTAACCCTTAATAAACACCAATAAAAAACTGAAAATGGAAATCTTCAATACACAATTCTTTATTCTTATTTCTTTATCACTTCACTTTGATGCTTGATCCTTGTGCAATAAGGTTTTTCGCGCATTCCGCAGTATTATTTTAACGATGTCTGAAGAGGAGCAGTC